CCCTCTCCCTCTCTCCCTCTCTCCCTCTCTCCCTCTCCCTCTCTCTCTCTCCCTCTCTCCCTCTCCCTCTCTCCCTCATCTCTCTCCCTCTCTCCCTCTCTCCCTCTCTCCCTCTCTCTCTCCCTCTCTCCCTCTCTCCCTCTCCCTCTCCCTCTCTCCCTCTCTCCTCCCCCCTCCTCTCTCCCCTCCCCCTCCCCCTCCCCCTCTCCTTCCTCCTCTCTCTCTCTCTCTCTCTCTCTCTCTCTCTCTCTCTCTCTCTCTCTCATAGTCACAGTATAACCCATGCTATTCTGGAACTTGCAATGAATGAGTGTTCCTGCTTCAGCACCCAGAGTACAGTACAGGTACAGCACACAGCTGCTCCCACCCTTTTCTGTTTCAAAAAAAACATGTTGAAACATGAAAACCATGTACATTTTTTAAAGTTGAATCTTAATGTAAAGGTGGAATGCCCCTGTTCATTTGCAGGAACCTAGTTCTGATTCCGTTTGTTTCTTTGTGGTCTTGTGTGACTCATCTGGTCAAGCAGTTCTCTCTGAGACTTGACTAGATTCGCTTCATGTCTTGGCTGAACACTTTCTGGGTGGAATGTGTGCTTCGTTTACATTGTCTCCTTGGCAAGGCCCACAGTTTCTCACTATCTCACATCAGGACTCTGCACTTAATCCATGGGTTCAAGAGGACAGCTGGTTTTTCCCATTACAAAGTTTCCTTCAACCTTCTACCCAATGGTTTTGTCTGATACCATTGCCTACTCAATACTCATTAGTAGTTGCAAAGTGATTGTTTTATACTTCTAGTATTCTTCTAGTATTCATTTATTAGCTGAAAATGTTCATTTAAGAAATTACTCACTAACAACCAGGGTTACTTTGAAAGACAGCAATAACACCATATACACATAACCCCTCCTTTTTCTGGCAATAGTAGTCAGTTAATTAGGTATTTCATTTTGTTTTTGTATGTTTTTCTAAAAATAATTCTACTTTCTTCTTGAGTAGCAAATGTATCCATGGGCTTTTTTATTGTAATCATGCTTTGATCAGTGTGTGCTTTCTGTGTTTCATGCCTCCCATCTTTGGCCAGTGGGAGCCATTCCTGGGGAAACAGTCTGTCAGTTCTTGGTAGTTAGTATGTTGTTTTGCTTTTCATTTGCAGGAGAGAAGAAATTGAGGAGTCTGTGGGAAGTAACTGGAACCTATTTCCCCAGCTTCCCTTTTCTTGCCCTCTCTACCTGCTTACTCCCACCCCATGACCCTAACTTCCTATGGAAAGGGAAAAGGCAAGAGCAGAAGCTGCCCATGATAGTAGCGTAGTGCTTTATAGTGGGTTCCATCTGAACTTGGAGCAGTTAATTAGTGGTTCAGAAAGGACCACACTGTCTTCTACCGACTCTTCTAGTTCCTCCATATCACAAAAGTGGTAGATGGTCCCTGGAAGGCCTGTAATATGGAAATCAATGTCATATCTGCTCTCTTGTTGTATTTGCTTTAATGACTAATTTTGAAATGTCTTTCTCCATTTTCTAACTGAAATCCTTTATTCTCTACTAACATTCTATCAGCTGTTCCCCCATCTCAGGCACTGGGGTCTCATGTAGTGACGAATGCCAATAATTTCAGTGACTTCGTTAGGTGTGGTGTTTACAATCTGTTACACTGAAAGGGTTTCCTTTGGAACTCCACCTTTCCTTGAGTAGTGAAGCTTTCAAGGGTAAAAAACGTCATTGTCTGTGCCAAAGAAGCCCTGGGTCAGCTCTCTGCCCTTTATATTTTTTTAAAATGCTGCTTCCTTTTACACGAAGTCTGAACACCTGTGTCCAATTAAGTACATGATGGTAAAGCTCCATTTCCCATTTTTATGCTGACTTAATGTCTTTATTCAGAGCATTATTTGTTTGCCCTGTGTATATGAATCTGGCTTACTTCTTAAACAATCAGGGAACAGAGTGAAGATTTTATGCTTTGTGAGCTGGAGAGGTAGGCAGTAGGTAATTTATATCACTCAGGGGCTCACTACTATCCATCACCCCAATTCCAGAGGCCTCTTCATACCTATGCCTGCACCAAGCATGCACTGGTGCACATACATTCATGTAGGCAAAACACTCAAATAAAAAAATTAAAAATTATGTCACCATTAATTTAATTGAAAATACCTCCTGGAGAGTTTCTAGGACATGCAATGACAGCTGACTTGTTAGGCTGAGAATAGGCTGAGAAGAGATGAAATTTCTAGGCACTTTGCTCTAGACAAAGGCTAATATGCCACCTTTGAAATTGCTATACTGATCGTGGGTAAGAAGTCCCTGTGGTTGTCAGAAGAGGTCCAGATCTCTTAGATATGGAGTTACAGATGATTGTGTCCACCACATGAGTGTACTGTGAACCAAACCCAGGTCTTCTGAAAGAACAAGTACTCTTAACAGCTAAGCCATCTCTCTAGCCCCATACATGGAGTTTTAGGACATAAACATCTAATACAAAATTTCCCTTCCTCTTTTTCTTTGGGATGTGCTGGTACAGACCATGGGGAACTCATATGCTGGGCAACTGAAATCTGCTAGATTTGAGGAAGCTCTACATAACTCTATAGAAGCCTCGCTCAGGTGTAGCACTGCAGTGCCTCGGCCAATCTTTTCCCAGCTCTACTTGGACCCAGACCAGCACCCTTTCTCATCTGCAGGTAAGTTTCTCAATTGCAGGCGTTTTTAGACTCCTTTCAAAAGAAGTGGGGATTCTAAATCCTGGAAACTCAAACAAATGTTAAAAATGCTAGTCTCCTCCTCCTCAAAGATATCTTTCAGATTTCACTTGTAATCAGTTTTCCATAAGCTTCTTTTTAAAACTTAAACTTGCATTGGTTTCCTTGCTTAAACAGATGTCAAACCGAAGGTGGAGGATCTAGATAAAGACCTAGTACACCGCTATACTCAAAATGGCAGCCTGGATTTTTCTCACAATGTAGCAATAAATGAAATGGAAGATGATGAAGATGAAGAAGACATGTCTGACTCAAACAGTCCACCAATTCCCTACTCACAAAAACCTGCCCCGGAAGGATCTTGCACAACAGATGGTAGGTTTGCACTTTGGAGCTCTTTTTGGCCTTGTACTGTAATATCATCTGATCTGTTTCCTTCTATGTGGTGTTCAAGGCTGGACACCAGACACTGAAGGAATGAGTGGTTATCTCCTCTTCCCCCATGATCTCTTAAGGCCTCTTAACAGTTGTCTACAGGAAACACAAGTCCTACCCACTCTTGTAGATGAAGTTAATAGTTGAACCATTTCCCTGAGAGGATCTGTGCTAATGTAAGTTCAGATATAAGAATTTACTTTCACCTGAGCTTTTATTAAAAACAATGTTTTGGGGCTGGAGAGATGGCTCAGTGGTTAACAGCACTGACTGCACTTCCAGAGGTCCTGAGTTCAAATCCCAGCAACCACATGGTGGCTCACAACCATCTGTAATGAGATCTGATGCCCTCTTCTGGCGTGTCTGAAGACAGCTACAGTGTATTCATATATAATAAATAAATAAATCTTAAAAAAAAGTTTCATGTTCTTCTACTTTTAGTCCACCTCTAGATAGTAATGAAGATTCTAGATGCCCTGACTCTAAAGCTACTTAGAACATTTTAATCAGATTTATTTATGTATTGTGTGTGTGCTCTATGGGGGCAGGGCTCATGAGTCACAACACAGTCATGGACAAGAGGACAACTTTCAGGAACAGGTTCTCTCCTTCCACCCTGGACATGCCAGGAGTCAAACTCAAATGGTCATGCTTGCCAGCAGGCTCCTTTGCTTACTGAGCTATCTCCCTGGCCTTACAACTACACTCACTGAGTGCAGAAGAAAAATTCAACTCTTTTATAAATATCATGTCATTTGATTCTCTGTTTCTGTCTCTGTGTTATTTGAGACTAGCTCATTAGGAAGTGCGAGCTGGCCTGGAATTCTATAGAGCATGCTGGCCTCCGACTCACAGAGACTTATTTGCCTACCTCTTCCTCCCCAGTGCTGGGATTAAGCTGTCCACCACCACACTGGCAGGTGATCTTATTCCATTTGTTCAAGTTACCTTTATTTCCTGCCACACTTTTAACCACATTTTAAATGAGGGAACCCTGGTTTCTAATGTTCTCATTGTTTTGTGGTTTCAGTGATATCCCAACTTAAATTCTACCTTCTTCCCTCCGAATAGTTGTAGAGTTCTGATTGCTCACTTAATTAGTATGTGGAATGTGGTTTTTATATTCAGACTGGCATTAACCTGCATGGTGTCAGAGCATGAAAAGCTTGAGGAAACCAGGGGGCTGGAAAACAAGAAGGTTCCAGAGCTCAGGACAGAGGACAGTTTTCTGCCAAAGCTTGGAGAACAAATAATTTGATGTAAATTACAGCCTTACCCAGGTAAAGCCAGAAAACTAGTTGTCCTTGTTTGAGAGTTTGTTTTCTTTTGATGTCCTACTTCCCTGAGAATCTGAAAACCCATGGAGGGATCCAGATCCTCTTGTTAGAGGGGAAAGAGACTGGAATAATCCTCCTGTAGCTCACAAGTATCCCTAGAAGGAGTGTCCATCAATGTTCTTCGAGTTAGGCTTGCGAACAGTGCATCACTTCTTACTGATCTGCCTCCACTTACAATCGACTGCCCAGACTTAATATGATGTACCTACTTACTCATTACTGATGTGCAGAAGCCTTTAACCCATGGAGATATGAACATTGACAGCATTATGTTGCTGTTTACTTGATTTGTATTATCATTACATCTTTTCCTTTAACTGAGTAGTTGGCTCATCAAGTAACAAGTGACATTTAATAGTGCTTTAAATGATGGTGTCTCACTGAGAACTGAATCACATGTGATAATTAAATAGAACCAGAGTAAAAACTTAGGCGGTGATTGTGAAGCAAGCAAAATTGTCTTCTAAAACATAGGGAAGAGTTTTCCCTGTCTTTCAGTACTTGGGCTGTTAAGCAAATTTTCTTCCAAAGCATGGGGAAGAGAGTTTTTCCCTGTCTTGGACTATGTTTTCAATTTCACAGTGGTGTTATTTATAACCAAGTATTTTGAAAAGGTACCAAGATATAAACTTGATGACCCAAAAATAATATGCCTTTAATCTCTGCACTAGGGAGACAGAGGGGTGAATCTCTGTGAGTTCAAGGCCAGCCTGATCTACTTAGTCAATTCCAGGGCAGCCAGGGCTACATGATGAGATCCTGTCTCAAAGAAAACAAATCAACAAAAAACCGCACATGGTTAGGATACAATCTGTATATTTATGTCAAGGTCTCGCTCTAACCCAGGCTAATGTTAAACTGAAGCTGTAACTATAGAATTTGGGGTAATCTTTCTACCTCCACCCCAAAAGAGCAATGGTGATTTTAAAGGTAAAGGCAGGCAATTTTTCTGAGAATTAAGAATTGTACCCCTGCCAGGCAGTGGTGGCACACGCCTTTTGTCTCAGCACTTGGGAGGCAGAGGCAGGTGGATTTCTGAGTTCGAGGCCAGCCTGGTCTACAAAGTGAGTTCCAGGACAGCCAGGGCTACACAGAGAAACCCTGTCTCAAACAAACAAACAAACAAACAAACAAACAAAAACTATCCCCCACCAAAGTAGAAGATTCAATTCCAACACATTCTGAAAACAATTCTGTACTGGAATTCCTACATCAACTGCTTCCATTCTTTTTTTTTTTTTTAAAGATTTATTTATTTATTATATATGAATACACTGTAGCTGTCTTCAGACACACCAGAAGAGGGCATCAGATCTCATTACAGATGGTTGTGAGCCACCATGTGGTTGCTGGGATTTGAACTCAGGACCTCTGGAAGAGCAGTCAGTGCTCTTAACCACTGAGCCATCTCTCCAGCCCAACTGCTTCCATTCTTATAATTCTTGAGCTTCGTTCATGCCCCTACTTAACTTCCCCCTCATCATAGGATGGCATTTAAAATAAAAAGCCGTTTATAACTTGGTATTTTATATTTCACACAGTGTTGTCAATTTTGCTTGCTCCAAGAAAGTTCTAAGAATCTTCTTGCTCAAAAGGAAAACAACCTCAAAGTTGTGCTCACAAAACCAGCGTTGAACCGAGAATGTAAGGACTGTGGCCTTGTTTAAAAATACCACCTTCCAGCTCCTGGGAAACCCTATTTACCTAAGGCTTAAGGTGCCATGACGCTATTTTTAGAGGCAATTTAGATAAGCAGATACTTGACATCTGCCGGGCTGCTGAGGCCTGCCATTCATAGGTAAATTTTGGTTGCTAATTTCTTATGTAAATTATTGGAATAGAGTGAGTTCCTACCCTGCTGGGAGGCAGTTGATTGTCTGCGCAGGTGAAGAACAACCAGATTTTCAGCCTCTGAATGCTGCTTTGATTGCTTTAGTTTGGATTTACTGCTGTGTCAGTAAACGTTCCTTTCCCTCCTTTTTTATTTACTCTGGAGCCTTCACGTTGGAGATAATTGGAGGGCTCAAATCGCTTTCTATGAAGTGAAAACCTTGGCCATTTTCTTAAGAAAATGCAGATGAAGTTTATAAAGAAGGCCCCCTCTGCTATCACCACCACAGTGCTTTAATTAAAATCAAAAGAGCTAGGCTCTTTTGCTCTCAGAAGTGAAGTGATTCCAAAAGCAAGTTTGTGAAGTTGTTCACCCATATAAGTAACTGCCTTCTCTTCCTAAGGGAGAACAGCCGAGACTCCCGTGGGTTGCTCTGAGGTGGTCCTCTGTGGCTTCTGAAGAGTGGTCATAGGAGCCAGTCAGTGTCCTCTCCCTGCCACACGGGATACTGCAATCTTGTGGGTCTGGAAATCCAGTCACATTTCATGGATTCTGTAGCTGTGCTAACACCTGACAATGAGTTTAAGAGAAACAGTTAAGAAATGTTTACAGAAAAACATCAGGCCCTTGGCAGATGAACTTTGAAATATTTAAGAGAATTACCATCTTTGGCCATGAATGAACTGATTTCTTCCTGAGCTACTCTGGCCTCACTGTTCCTTTCTCTTCTCACCCCATACTTTCTTTTTAATTAAATTGCCCTAGGCTTCTCTTTGTGAGTAACTAGAAGATAAGAAAAGTACTTTACAAGACTATTTTTAGAAGCAGCTTTACATTTATAGAAAATGCAAGCCAGTAGTTCCATTTGTATACATAGGTAATTTCTCCTGTGAGAGTACAGAAAGCACATTTGTTACAATTAATTAGCTACTGCTCATATATTTTTATTAACATTAGCAATCAAGGCTATGGTTTGCTTTGGTTCCTAATGTCCTTTTTGAGCCATGATCCTATCAAGAATATTACACCAGATTTAATTGTACTATCTCCTTAGGTTCTTCTTAGATGTGACATTTTTTGAAAGTTCTTTCCTGGCTTTGATGGCTCTGGCAATTTTAGGAATATTAGTCAAAGATATTATCAGAAACAAGCTTATTGGAGGGGTCTGTCTCTTCTGATGACTCAGAGGCTATGGGTCTGGATGAAGACCTCAGAAGTATAAGGCCACGTCCATCACGTTATTCCAAGAATGCCCCAGCCAGTTCTGAGGCTGAAGGCAGGTTTGGTTAATTCAACTTTTCTTTTAAACCCTTTCAATTACATGCAAGTATTTAGGTCAGTTCTAGGTTTGAGAAACCAACATTACAATAGAAACAGTCAAGGAACAAGCGAGGCAATATACAGAGTCCAGTGATCACCCCGTGATCACTCTCATGACTGCTGGTTCTAAGGGCTCATCAGGATGACAAAGTATCTGAGCCTACTTCCTTGTCCTAGCCCACAGTCAAATCCATGCCTGAGGCCTACTTCTTTGGTTTAGCCTAAGACTTGGATTCCTGACTGAATTTACTTCTCTGTTTTAGCCTAAAAATAGACTCCTGCCTGAACTTACTTCCTTGTCATGGCCCAAAGTCAGATTCTTGTCTAAAGCCCATTTCCTTGTCCTTGGCCAACATCAGATTCCAGCCGAGCAGCCCCAGTGGCTCCCATACTTATGGTTTGTAAAAACTTTCCAGACTGACAAACTCTTGGTCTCAAAATCCTCAGCCTTCTGAGTAGCTGGCATGATAGGTGTACGCCAGCACTCCGAGCTAAAACCTTGACTTTTAAGAATTCATCAGTGAGAATGAGAAAGGTGGATGCTGGAATACTCCATGGGTGACAAGGATGGTATATTAAATGCTCCACAGAATTCAGCCTAAAAGGGGTACCATAAGAACAGGTGATAGAACCGACAGTAACAAGCTAGAAAGAGATTATAGTGTAGTATCCTGTGCTACACTAGAGGTAGGGAAAGCACTAGACATGTCAGAACACTTACTCTGTTTTTGTGACCTATTTGTTTTTTATTTACATGTATGTGTATCTGTCTGTCTGTCTCTTTCTCTCTCTCTTTCTCTCTCTCTTTCTCTCTCTCTTTCTCTCTCTCTTTGTGTGTGTGTGTACTAGTTTAGGTTTTATTGCTGTGAAAAACTATCATGACCCAAGTGTGTGTGTGTGTGTGTGTGTGTGTGTGTGTGTATTAGTTTAGGTTTTATTGCTATGAAAAAATACCATGACCCAGGCAACTCATGAAGAGAAACATTTAACTAGGTCTGGCTTATAGTTTGAGAGGTTTAGCTCATTATCATCATGGCAGGAAGCGTTGCCACATGTTAGGCAGGCATGGTGCTGGAAGAGTTCTACATCTTGATCTTCAAGCAGCAGTAGATGTGAATTCCACCCTGGAGGAAGCTAGAGCATAGGAGACCTCAAAGCCCGCCCCCACAGTGACACACTTCCTCCAACAAGGCACTCCCTATGGGCCAAGCATTTGAACACATGAGTCTATGGGAGCCATACCAGGCTAGTCTTGAATTCAAGGTCTTGCTGCCTTACTATCCAAAGTTTTAGAATTTTAGGCATGTGCCTTTATGGCTAGCAAAAGATGTAGAAGTTGAAGGAGCATCTCAGTGGGAGTTAGAGATCTGGGTTGTGGGATTCTCTTGGTTGGTTTATGGTTATTTGACCTCAGGACATTAGGTTAATCTTCCTGGACCCTTCTCTCATTTACATACTGAAGAGGTTAGAATAGGTAGTGTCCCCAGTCTTCTGAGTCACAAATCTCTTTTAGTAGTGTAGGCACTTTAAACTCCTTGAGCTTTTTGAAATAATTCTGTCATTGCATAGCATATGATAAAAATGTTTTATTTATATGAGTACTCTGTCATATATATAGTCCTGCATGCCAAAATTGGGGATGAAATTTAAAAAAAGGTGGTTGTGAGCCACCATTCTGGGAATTAAACTTGGAATCTCTGGAAGAAAATCAGTGTTTTTCATCACTGAGCCATCTTTCTGGCCCCTTTAAAAAAAAATTAACTAGAAAGTACTTAGTCTAGATTGACCAATATATTAACATATTATTTTATATTTATGCTATACAACAACTATGATTCAGTAGTTTCATTTCTTTAAGTTAGATATATATATAAAAAAGAGTGTATTTGTTGAAAATACAAAAATAAAAGATTTCTCCTGCCACCCCAGCCCCACCCCACCTGGGTTTTTGAGACAAGGTTTCTCTGTTGTAGCCCTGGCTGTCCTGGAATTCATTGAATAGACCAAGCTGGCCTCAAACTCACAGGAATCTGACTGCCTCTTCTTTCTGACTGCTGGTATTAAAGGCATAGGCAACCACTGCTTGGCTATTGAGTTCTTAAGGGAAAACGTTCTGTTCAAATTTTGTCTCTTTAGGCCTGTGAAGCACCTGTTTATAAATTATGAAATACTGAGTGAATGTGGCAGTCCATTACAAACTGATTACATAAATACTTGTCATTTCATGGCTTATCTAGTAAAAAGTCTGTTCTGAATTCTAGTTCTGACTAGTTCCCTGACCAGTCACCAAGCTCTGAGCTCCAGTCTCTGCTGCTGTGATATGGGGGAGCATCCTGTGTTCAGTGAATTGTATTGTCCCAGTTAGAAATGGCTTCATCTTGAAAATAAAGACTTGGCTAGGGAGATGGATCCTTGGGTAAAGTGGCTGCCCTGTACATGTGAGGGCCTGAGTTTAGATCCCAGGCACCCACCAAAAAGACAAGTGAGTATCTATAACTCCCATATTGGTGGGATTTCGGGAATAAGAGGCACACAGATCCCTGAAGCTCCAGATTCAGTGAGAGACTGTCTCACTGAAATAAGATAGAGAGCAATTGAGGTAGACACCTGACATTAACCTCTAGCCTCTGCAGGTACCTGAACACACACATTCATACTTGCGTATAAGTACACCAAACAGAGAGAGAGAGAGAGAGAGAGAGAGATAGAGAGAGAGAGAGAGAGAGAGAGAGAGAGAGAACTTATCATGTATATACAAAAATTATATACACTTTCCTAGGTGGTTTATTATATATTTATAATTGCCTTACTTGTGGGCCAGGAAACTTGAGCTGTCATCCTGATGGAACCAAACAGGAGGAGATAGATTTGTTTTCTAGTTAGGGCCCATTGGCTTTGAGTCCTTAGAAGTGATTCTTATAGATAGCTCTATTCTAATGGATGGATAAGGAGAAATTACCTTCCCTAAGTATTCTTATTTTCTTCTTACTGTTTCTAGGGTTTTGTCAAGCTGGAAAGGATTTGCGTTTAGTATCACTGTGTATGGAACAAATTGACATCCCAGCTGGATTCCTGCTGGTGGGGGCCAAGTCTCCTAATCTTCCTGAACACATCCTGGTTTGTGCTGTAGACAAGCGATTTCTACCAGATGACCATGGGAAAAATGCACTTTTAGGTGAGTGTTTAATGCCTATGAAACTCCTTCTAGAAGGGAGAAGTTGAAATATATGTTTATTAAAACTTATCTTAGAATATTATATGTGTACATGTATGTCACTGAGTTAGATGGAGTTCAAATGGTTTAGTTTCAAACAGGAAAATTTTCCTCTTGTGAACTTAAATATATTTTACTTTTTTATTGTCAAAAATAGACATGCAAAACTGTTTTGAGAACATTAAAAAGGAGCATACAATTTATCAAAATGTAATATTTTAGGTCTGAGTACTTACTTAGCACATGTAACGTTCTCAATTTCATCCTTAGCCATGTAAGGTTTTTTATATTTTATTAAGTAGAGTGAAGTCGACTCTTTATAGTCACTGATCTGAACATGAAGTCAATTCCCAATTACTTATTTGTGAATTATTTACTTTGTAAGGTAGCTGTAAATTTTCAATACTAGCAAATTTTTTTTAAAAAAAATTTCAATACTACCTAATACTTTATAAGTACGATTAGTTTGTATGTAAAATGTCTCTATCAGGAGGGAGATTAGTGAGGGGCATAATAATCAGAGGGAGATATATATACCATCCACAGGCCTTTCTGGTTGAGTACTTGGTTCCCCCTGGGGAGGGCTGTTCTTAAAGGGTTGGAGAACCTTGGGGCTGGAGAGATGGCTCAGTGGCTAAGAATACCAACTGCTCTTCCAGAGGTCCTGAGTTCAACTCCCAGTAACCACATGGTGGCTCACAACCATCTGTAATGGGATCCAATGCCCTCTTCTGGTGTGTCTGAAGACAGCTACAGTGTACTCATATACATAAAATAAATAAACCGTTTTTTGTTTTTTTGAGACAGGGTTTCTCTGTATAGCCCCGGCTGTCCTGAAACTCACTCTGTAGACCAGGCTGGCCTCGACTCAGAAATCCACCTGCCTCTGCCTCCCAAGTACTGGGATTAAAGGCGTGCCACCACTGCAAAATAAATAAATCTTTAAAAAAAAAAAAAGATTGGGGGAACCTTTAGAAAGTAGGGCTTCTACAATATAATGGGCAGCCTCACACCCCTGCTGCTCCAGCCTGGAGCTGCTCCACCCAACCGGGAGCTGCTCCAACCTGTTTCTTCCTTGTCATGATGAGCTGCATCCCTTGAGCCTTAAGCAAGAATAAACCCTTCCTCTCTTACATTGTTTCTGTCCTCAGTCTATCACAGCATCAAGAAAGCTGAGAGTTGCTTCTCATTTTACATTTAATATCCATTCACCTAAAATAACTAGGAAGGGTAGGGAATTTTCTTAAGTAGTGATTGATGGGGGAAGGAGGGCAAACCCATTGTGGGTAGTGCCATCCCTGAGCTGGTGGCCCTAGGTTCTATAAGCAATCAGGCTGAGCAAGCCATGATGTGCAAACCAGTAAGCAGTATATCTCCATGACCACTCCATCAGCTCCTTCCTCTAAGTTCCTGCCTTGTTTGAGTTCTTGCTGGGATAGACCATGATGTGGAATCATAAGCCAAATAAACTTTCCTCTCCAATTCGCTTTGGGTCATAGTGTTTCATTGCAGCAATAGCAACCCTAACTAAGACAGACAAGATCTTACCATGTACCCCTGGATGGCCTGGAAAGCTATATAGACCAGGCTGGCCTCAAATTCATCAAGATCTACCTGCCTTCACCTCCATAGTGCTGAGACTGAAGGCATGTGCCACTACTAGCTTCTTTTTATTTATTTTGTAATACAAAGACAAGTAGATACATGAGCTTTGCTATTCATTTGTTATGTTTATGTACATGTTTTGCTTCTCAGAATGCCTTTTATTTAGATGGAATTATATCTTTAAAGTGCAAATATCAGAAGAGGACAAAGAATTAAACTACTGTATTGATTGTGCGATGACTTTTGTTTTAGTTTGATGCAGCCACTCAAATTATACAAGATCAGAAAGCCTTAAAAATCTTGAATCAGAAACTGTCCCATAACATGCTATAGAGATCCCTTCCCTTCTTCAACAGCTCCCCCCGACACACACTTTTTTTCTTTCTTGACAAGATCTTACTGTGTGGCCCTGTGACTTGGAACTCATTATGTAGACAACAAGAGTTCCACCTGCTTCTGCCCCCCCAAGGGCTACAATTGTGTGAGCAGTTCTTAAGTTATAGTTCAGAGTCATCTATTGGCTAACATATATTGGTCATTTTCACATTTCAAAGATGTCAAAAAATACATACTGGATACAATTACACATGTCTTTAACCCCAACACCAGACAGTAAAGCAGAAGGATCAAGAGTTCAAAGTTTGGGCTAGAGAGATGGCTCAGAGGTTAAGAGCACAGATTGCTCTTCCAAAGGTCCTGAGTTCAATTTCCAGCAACCACATGGTGGCTCACAACCATCTATAATGGGATCAGATGCCCTCTCTTCTGGTGTGTCTGAGACAGCACCAGTGTACTCACATAAAATAAATAAATCTTAAAAAAAAAAAAGAGTTCAAGGTCACGGTGGGCTAATAGAGACCTATATTTGACCCCCAGTATTGAGCAATAAAAATAAAATGCATTCACTACTCTTTAAGTGAAATTAAGCATATAGTTTAATACAGAGATCTAATGATGAAGCTTCTTTGTTGTGGTAAATTAGCAAAGACTGTCCAATCACTTATTTGTTGATTTCTTTTTCAACTGTACTTATTCAAAATGTACTGTATAATAAAAACTAAGCTAAGCTATGACCCGGAGGCACAGAAACTCTAAGGGACAGTCCTTTTAGTCATTTACTTAAGACTCATTGGTGATGTAAAACAATTTTGGAAATGTATTTAGTATTTTATTTTTTTGTTTGTTTGTTTGGTTGGTTTTTGATTTTTTTTTTTTTTGAGACAGAGTTTCTCTGTATAGCCCCGGCTGTCCTGGAACTCACTCTGTAGACCAGGCTGGCCTCGAACGCAGAAATCCACCTGCCTCTGCCTCCCAAGTGCTGGGATTAAAGGCATGTGCCACTACCACCTGGCTATATTTAGCATTTTAAAAGCATTATAGTCTCTTCTATCAGAACAATGAGGTGAAGCTTTGACTGAAAACCCTGAAAAATGTCTCATAATCCATCAAGGGTTCTTTATAAGTAGGGAATTCTCATATACAGAAAGCATTGTCAGATTATGTGTCTGTTGGTTGGATGGATAGACAGAAGGATAGGTAGATGGATGGATGGATGGATGATGGATGGATGATGGATAGATGGATGGATAGATGGATGGATAGATGGATGGATAGATGGACAGATGGAAAGACAGGTGGATGGATGGTTGGATAGATGGGTGAATGGTCAGATGTATGAGTGATTGGATAGATGGGTGAATGGTCAGATAGATGGATGGACAGACAGGTGATTGGATGGATATATGGATGAATGAGTGGATGGGTGGGTGGATGGATGGATGGATGGATGGATGGATGGATGAATGGATGGACAGATGGGTGGATGGATGGATGGATGGATGGATGGATGGATGGATGGGTAATTCTAACAGGTACTTGGGGTACTAGACAGTCAATGACTTTTTTATTTATTGTTATTGGCCTATAGCTTAAAAAAATTGAGAAATGAGCAAATATTCTCTAATATAATCCTTCTCTGAATACATTCTAAGTCATTTATAAGTCTATTTTGGTGTTCATTCTTGATAAAATGACAGCAATAAACTATATAACTTAATGTTATTAATTAAGCAGAGGTTGTAATTATCTCTTATTCATCATTCTCCTCTGGGATTTACCTGGTATTCAGTAAATAATTGTTATAGAAATAACTTGGGTGGCCCATTTATAAATGCTTTGAATTATTGGTATCCTCCAGTGGAGATACCGTAAAATGTTCTTTTTATCCTTGTGGCCTTTTGTTTCTCTCTTTATCCTTGTTAATATATACCAGGTTGGTTTAGGGGTTTGAAAACCATGTCAGTTTGCCCGTGGTCATGTTTTAAGTTATTGTAGACAGATGCATGGTCTTTATACAGGATATAAGACTCCTTGTCTTCCCCCTTTGTCTTGTTCATCTTATGTTCTCTTCACATCAGGTCTGAGTAAAGGAACTCACTGACTTCCTGGTCTTCCCTTCTTTTGTGTGTTAAAAGGGCTAACAGCTGACTTTTCATAAAGCAATGCATGGCTTCTCATCCTCCCAGCCTTCTCCATTTCCTCTTTACACATCTGCTCCAACCATGCCATTGAGAGTCTTACTTAGTTTAATTAGTCCAAGAGATTGTTCAGACATTTGATATAAAAGAATAAGCTCAGGAGAGTAAAGAGAAGGTAAATGAAGAAGAAATGGGAAGTTCACAGAACCTGTGTCTAGCTCTTATAGCATCAGAGGTGACTGAAATAGCTCAGCATCACACAGCTTAGTCTGTGCTGCCCCTCCTGACTGCTCTCCAGCTGCCTGGTCACAGCTTTCAGTGCATCCCCTCCAAAACCAGAATTCATGTGTACTTGAGATGAACCACATATGGATTTTGTTTTTACAAACCTTTACAAATCTAGGGTCCAGTGCTGTCTAGATAAAATTCTAGAAGAGAGGTTCTAAGTATCTCATATTAGGTCAGATACTTATCATACTCTCATAGTCCACAGGTCTGTGGGGCAAGCTGCTGTGGTAAGCTAGGCAGAGAACCAAGAGTGGGACCCACAGTCTCGTTAAAACAAGAGCTTTGTTAGAATAATAAACCGCAAAGATTTAATAATCAGATAGTTTTTAAGTGATAAAAAATAAAACCATGATATTTGAAATTCAATGTTTTATTAGTTTATTCATATATGAAGTGACAGGTTTCATAAAGATGCTTTTATTGATACATATTATATTCTTTGCTATTCACCCAATTATTCTCTCCTCAGCAGGATCTTAATAAAGGAGCTTGCAACATGAAAGCATAAGGAACTTTAGGACTGAAATCCTTTATCTTCATCTTCCTCTTCCTTCCTTCCCTCCCCCAACCCGATCCTTCCTCCCTGTGCCCCTCCCTCCTTCCTTCCTTCCTCTCCCAATTCTGGGGCTCTAGCTCAGGGCCTTACTCAGCTAGACAGGTGTCTGTCACTGAGCTCCACTCTTCAGCCCTCACCTGTCTTTCCTGTCTTTATATACTATCTAAATTCTGTCACCTGCCTGAAATTATTTCTTTGTTCTAGCCTAATGTCAGATTCCTACCTGAAGCCTACTTCCTTGTCCTTAGCCAATGTCATATTCCTGCTAAGCAGCCCATTTCCTTGTTCTTGGCTCATGTCAGATTCTTGCCAACCAGCCACAAAGGTTCTCCACCTCTCCCCCCTTTTTTATTTCATTAAAAAGACTGAACCTGTCTTAGGTCATTCTGACAAGAATGCCTTCCTTACCTATTATGGAATATGCATTATCAACAGCAATGCACTTCTGTGTTAGGTTGGTTAGGCTAAAACAAAGAAATAATCTCAGGCAGGAATCTAAATTTTAGGCTAGAATAAGGAAGTAGACATCAGACATGAAAATGACCTTGGGCTAGGACAGAGAAGTAGGCTCAGATACTTTGGTCATCCTGATAAGCCCTTAGAAACAGTGATCACAGGAGTGTTCACGTAATTGGGTTTAATGCCTTGTTTTTTCTTTATTTGTGTCTATTGTCTTGCTTGTTCCTTGACTATTTGCATCTATTGTATTGCTAGACCCTCAGCCTAGAACTGACCTTAAGCCGGGCAGTGGTGATGCACGCCTTTAATCGCAGCACTTGAGAGGTAGAGGCAGGTGGATTTCTGAGTTCGAGAGTTCGAGGCTAGCCTGGTCTACAGAGTGAGTTCCAGGACAGCCAGGGCTACACAGAGAAACCCTGTCTCGAAAAACCAAACCAAAAAACAAAAACAAAACAACAACAAAAAACGATTAGAACTGACCTTAATATATGCATGTAATTAAAATGGTATAAAACAGGCGAGCTGGGTGCGGGCGGACATCTTGGGATCCAAAAGTGGCCAGGTCGGCCTTGTGGGGACTGCTGACTCCAGGTCTGTTCTCAGAGCAATGGGTCACAGAGACTGAGCTGCCACCATGATAGGAGGCTTATTCATCTATAATCACAAGGGGGAGGTGCTTATCTCCCAGGTCTACAGAGATGACATCGGGAGGAATGCTGTGGATGCCTTTCAGGTCAGTATCATTCATGCACAGCAGCAGCCCTGTCACAAACATCGCTTGCACCAGCTTCTTCCATGTTAAGTGGTCCAATATCTGGCTGGCCGCCATCACTAAGCAGAATGTCAATGCTGCCATGGTCTTCAAATTCCTCTACAAGATGTGTGATGTAATGGCCTCTTACTTTGACAAGATCAGTGAGGAGAACATCAAAACAATTTTGTGCTCATATATGAGCTGCTGGATGAGATTCTGGACTTTAGCTACCCACAGAACTCAGAGACAGGTGCACTGAAAACCTTCGTCACCCAACAGGGCATCAAGAGTCAGCATCAGACAAAAGAAGAACAGTCCCAGATCATCAGCCAGGTGACCGGGCAGATTGGCTGGTTGTGGGAAGGCATCAAGTATCGCCGGAATGAACTCTTCCTAGATGTTCTGGAGAGTGTGAACCTACTTGTGTCCCCACAGGGGCAGGTGCTGAGTGCCCATGTGTCGCGCCGGGTGGTGATGAAGAGTTACCTGAGTGGTATACCTGAGTGCAAGTTTGGAATGAATGACAAGACTGTCATAGAAAAGCAGGGCAAAGGCACAGCAGATGAAACAAGCAAGAGTGGTAAGCAGTTGATCACTATTGATGACTGCACCTTCCACCAGTGTGTGTGACTCAGCAAGTTTGACTCTGAACGGAGCATCAGCTTCATCTCTCCTGATGGAGAGTTTGAACTCATGAGATACTGTACTACCAAGGACATCATCCTTCCTTTCCGGGTGATCCCATTGGTGCGGGAGGTGGAAGCCACCAAACTGGAGATCAAGGTGGTCATCAAGTGCAACTTCAAGCCCTCACCTTCTGGCCCAGAAGATTGAGGTAAGGATCCCAACCCCATTGAACACAAGTGGTGTGCAGGTGATCTGCATGAAGGGGAAGGCCAAGTACAAGGCCAGCGAGAACACCATTGTACGGAAGACCAAGCGCATGGCAGGCATAAAGGAATCACAGATCAGCGCGGAGATTGAGCTCCTGCCCACTAATGATAAGAAGAAATGGGCTCGGCCCCCCATTTCCATGAACTTTGAGGTGCCATTCACACCTTCTGGCCTCAAAGTACACTACTTGAAGGTATTTGAACCAAAGCTGAACTACAGCAACCATGATGTCATCAAATGAGTGCGATACATTGGCCGCAGTGGCATTTATGAAACTTGTTGCTAGCTTCCTAGTTCCAGGTGGCCCACCTCCCCACCCACCCTTTTCACAGGTCCAAGTACCCCAGTGACCATTCACTAGTCACCAGTGTCGTTTCTCCCTCCTGCTCTGATGCCTTCCCTTTCTAATAGCCCCTGAGTATAGATCTGAACCAGCCACATCACAGTGAAACTGGTCAGGTAGTCCCTGGCTTCCTTGGAGGGTGGTTTTTGAGGCTTCCGTCTGTCTGTCTTGGATCAGTGCCAGGCCCTGAGTTTTGTGACCAAAGCCAGGTGGTCCCCTCTTCTCTCTTCCCTTGTGGCCACACCTCTGCAATGGGAAGGTTGACTACCCCTCACCTCAGAACTCCCCCTAAAGGCCAGTAATGGATCCCCAGTCTCTAGTCCCTACTCTGCTTTGGGATAGTATGAGCTTCCTTCTGTACACATGTGACTTTGTCCAGTTATAAATGCAATAAACTGTAGAGTGGAAAAAATAAAATAAATAAAATTGTATAAAAGCATAAAGGAGGAGGGGGATGGGATGGGGGTTCTAGGGAGGGGAAAGGGGGAAAGAGGATCACATCTGTATTGTAAATAAATAAAATATCCAATAAAAAAATTAAAAAGAAAATTCTGTCACCTGATACTTCCCAATCTGTTTTCTTAGACATTGTCCTGTTATAGTGGTGTTGAACTTAGTCCCAGTCTTTTACTGTTATAGAAATGACTCTGTGCTTGTTATAACTTGACCGTGAATTTCATATTAGATAGCAGCATTGGAGCAACTTTAAATTTCCTGAATTTTTTTGAACATAGAGTACTAGCTTACAAGCATTTACAATTTTATCTGAAGAATTTAAAATCAAAGAGGAAAGTTGGTGGTGGAGGAAGACTCCACTGAAAACCTACCCCTGCTTTTTTTCCCTTCTGAAGTATTTCCTAAACGTTGGGATATTGTTGGTTCAATAGATTGTGAATATTTTTATACTTTTCACATCTAGAAGTAGTGTATCAACTTACAAGGCCACTTGTAACATTGGCTTTCCCCATTTCAGGGTTTTCTGGAAATTGTATCGGTTGTGGAGAAAGGGGATTTCGATATTTCACAGAATTTTCTAACCACATTAACTTGAAGCTCACCACCCAGCCAAAGAAGCAGAAGCACTTAAAGTACTACCTCGTCAGAACCTCCCAGGGTGTGTTATCAAAGGGACCTCTAATCTGCTGGAAAGGTAACCAAATTCCAGGAGGGGGAGGGGAGGGAGATTCTGTGGCGGTGACAAGTGACCCTTACAGGGTTCAGAGTACAGGTGTGGACTATATAAATAACTCAAGTTCAAAAGGCTGCTCAAAAAATACAAAGCCCTTTAAGAGATGTTTGACTTGCCTGTTGTTATAATTAAGTGAAACATCTGAGTATAGGAGAGTCAGGAAAGTGCAGGTCTCCAGATCTGACTCCAGAGAAGGCATACAGCTCTGGGACGAGAAACGGCACTTCTGGATGTCTTACACTTAGAACCTGAGTGTAAAATGTTCTCTTTGCTTGATTTCAGTTTGTTAGTGGTTCTTGCCAATCTACCGTTTTCTATTTTTATTTTACCAAAACATATCAAATAGCAATCGAGTCTTTTAGAGGCCTTGGGAAGTATATGCTGGAGTTAACAGTTTTGTTTCTTTGGAATTAGCAACAATTTAGCTAGCTAATGTGTAGAAAGTCAGATCTTCATGTGCTTGGTAGACATTACCACAGTTTTAGCTACTATCCTAATGTGATTTCTTTGATGCTAAGAATTTTTTCTCCATAAAATAATTGTCTTTATCATTCTTGCTGACACAAGAGTTTTACCTGACTCTGAAATAGCAGAATAAATTTGAATTACAATAGCACATTTGTCTCTGAATCCTCCACCATAATTATTCTTGCCTGCATTTGAGGTGGCACTCACTATATACTGCCACAGGGAATGGTGTTGCATGTCCCAAGCCATTGTCATCAGAGCTTAAATCTTGCAAGCACTGAATCTTAAGAATATCATTAAGATATGATAGATATCATAAAATAAAGATGCTCTTTATCCTGGCAAAGTCTAAAGAATTTTCCTCTAGAATGTCTTCTTGAATACCATAAGTCGTATTTAAAGAATAAAACCAAGACAAGCATTGTCTCTCTACCTTTCAACTTTTTCCTTTAGCTTTTATTTTGTTTTCATAAATACACTTGATTTCTTGGTGCTCAAGGAGTTCATGTTTCTAGTAAAGAATAGTATTTTTATATTACTTGATTGATGATTGATGTGTGTGTGTGTGCGTGCACACGTGCACGCACACACGCCTACCACAGCACATGTGGAAGCTAGAGGACAACCTGTGGGAATCTGTTGTCTCCCTTCAGTGTGTAGGTTCCAGGGGCTGAGCTTGGTGATAAGCACTTTTGCCCTCTGAGCTACCTCACTTGGCCAATTTTTAAAATGGTCTCATATTTATAGCAGATTTTATTTTGGAACTGAAATTGTACACCTATTTATATAAAACCACATGATATTAATATGCATCTATGCACATAATATGCATAAGATGAAGTTAAACTTTATGCCAAAATATAATCACTGTTGTCAGAAAGCCATAGCGTGGGCTGCTTCAGAGAACTGCTTTCAGTCCTTGCGTGTGCCTCATTACCATGGAAACTTTCTTTAGAACCTTTGTGACTCTGTTCAACCATTTACATTTCTATTTCACACACTACTTTCTGAGACTAGTAATCATACAATTTGAAGACTGAGAGACTGTCACAGTGTTCACTAAGTCAGTACACAGTACAATTAGAGTCATATCAGAACCTCAGTAATATCCCTTAATGCAAAACTTGCTATTGCATTATTAATAGTCATTTTGAACACCATTTACCTATTCCCGTTAAGAACTAATAATAATAATTTCCTTCTAATTTGTCTCTTCTATCTATACAGTTTTTATTTTTCTTATGTTTGAATTAAGATTGAGTAGAAACATCTGAAAGTAGCCTAGATGGATTCAAAGTTACTATTATACATTTAAATAAATTATGAACAAGAAGTTACCTGGTATCTAAAAAGCTTAATTTTTTTTATAAATTATTGATATTTTACCCTCTATCTTACCCATAAAACTAACAAAACTGTGTTGGTTATTTGCATTTTTCATGTGGAAACTAATCTGTGGGCCATAAAATTGTGATTGTTCTTTGCCTTAAGCATAACATCTGGCTTAGGAAGACTGTTCACTAGTCTGATCAGGCTGTTGGAGACAGTAAGTAATTAGGAAAGTTGCTACCATTCAAGAAGCAAAAACTTGTTTCAGTGATCTTTTGGATTGTGTCCCCATTGCCTGCTCAAATAAAAACTAGCTTCTTCATATCATGTGCTTTTATCCCTTCTAGAATGTAGAAGCCGACAATCCTCTGCTCTTTGCCATTCCACGAAGGCTGTTTCTTCAGTGTCATCAACTGTGGCTCCAGAAAATAATGGAACAGCTAATGGATACAAAGCAGGCTTCACTCCGACAGGTATGAAATCATTTTATATTATTGTAAGGACATATATATATATATATATTTAATGAAGCATCTTTAAACTTGCTTAGCTGGCTTGAGTGAAATGCTTTCAAATAAAATACTCTTTGAGTATTATTAGAATGCAATTTGACTTATTATTAGAATTAGAAGCCAGCATTGAGATGGTACATCTTTGGAGGACCAGGACTTAAGTCTCAGTAGTCTTGCCAGTAATGACAGAGAATGGAGAAAGAAATGACAAGTGGAAGAAAATTGTAGAGAGTATGTAGAAATCAGACACCACAGCTACTAGGGACACACTCATGAAGAGTAGAATTCTAGGGTAGAGCTATGTTTAACCCCTAAGATGACTCTAATCCATCCCCTCAGAGTTCAGGGAACCCCATGGAAGATGAGATGCAAATAGCCAAAGAGACAGAGGGGATCAAGGACACAAAGGAAACAAGGTTTCTAAAAGAAAAAACAAAACAACAACAACAACAAAAAACCCAGAAACCATGAGATAGCTGGAGAAAATCGCACACTAGCTGGTATAAAACAGGTCCCTGAATGGACTGGGTACAATAGTGGATGAATCCAGGATCTAGTTTTTAATGCTGCAAGACAAAAGCTCAGTTACAAATAACTAGATAAAAATTCTTAGTGCTTGAAGCCTCTAGTATATTATCAAATCTGGACAGTAGGCTGATTCGATGGTGAAGTGACTACAAGGACAGATTTCTAAAAGATCGTCTATTATATGGCGCTAGCCAGGACCTGAGGTCAGGATAAGACTTCAAGCAGAACAAAATGGCCCATGCTGAAAGTTGATGAGCTATGGATTATTTGAGAAAATTACTCAGGAGTAGCATAGCTGGATCTCAGGCAACATGAGAAGTACAATAAAGGAGTATATGAATTATGTCGTAGTTCCCTTGTCTGTACTCTTACCCATCTGGTGTGTAACTTCATATGTGCTAGCCATTGTCTGTTTCACCACAGGTTAAAAATAAAACCAAAACCAAAAAAACTAGGGAGTCTTCATTAGCAGTGTACCATGGTACTTTCAAATGTCATGTGAGCCTCTCATGATCTGGTAAACTGTTTACAAGGTGGAAGTATTAGAGTATGTCGGCAGAAATACAAGTATAGCGAGGCCAATTTCAGTGGGACATGTCTTACTGTGTGCCCATAGTCAGCAAAATCTGATTGAACCTGAGTAACAATGTTCCTGATTCTGAGCAACTTTTAAACTCTCAAGATATTTAGATAGAGTATATTCCTAAGACAGAAGACTATTTCTTTTTTAAATCATGCTGTTTGAGAAAGAAAAATGTTGGCATTTGGCTCTTAGCATTGAAAGACCACCCTTCATTACATCAGAAACTTGCCTGCATGGCTAGCCTAGAATATTATTTCAGTGATTTGATGAGTTTTATGGTATGTTATCTTCCCTTAGATCTTGGAGATAATAAATGAAAAATTAAAACTATAGTGTTAAAAATGAACATGTACTTCATTCCAATCAATGCATATCAAGTGTTCATTGTGTTCTAAGAACCTTATCAGATGTTGTGAGGCTGGGTTCCAGTATTTGAGTAACAACCCCCATGATTTAAAACCACTCGTAGAAGGGAATAAAAAACAATAAACCATGCTGACTTTCCTACAAGGTAGGCTAGATATAAAAATAACAAGTTTTCCTTTGAAAATATTAAAAACCATAAGCATTAATATAATATTAATTAATCATACCAGGAAATATGTTTTGAAAGCAATTTTTTGTTGTTCTGAAAGAAGAAATCAGTCTTCTGCAAAAATTTGGACTTTAGCCAAGGATCCCACAGTGCCCTGAGGAGACATAAGCAAGGAAGAGAGAGAAGGTCACTGACTGACTCACAGTAAACACAAGTGGCCAAATGTTATTTCAGTATTCCTGGGTGGAGGGAAAGAGATAACTTGACCCTGAAATTCACTGTTAGCAGATTCAGGTGCAACTCAGATAATTTACTAGAAGAAAACACTCGGGCTGGAGAGATGGCTCGATTGCTCTTCTAGAGGTCCTGAGTTCAATTCCCAGCAACCACATGGTGGCTTACAAGCATCTATAATGGGATCTGAAGCCCTCTTCTGGTGTATCTGAAGACAGGGATGGTGGTACTCATATACATTAAAAAAAATAAACAAATAAATCTTTAAAAAAAAAGAAAAAAAGAAAACACTCTTCTACAAAGTGTCCTATGGAAGACTTTCATAGTGACCTATTTATGTGTATAGATACACCAACCACTGTTCCTTCTAATACAGACTGAATGTAACAGACTGTAAAAATTGTATGTTAGCATTATGGTATCATGATAAACATTAGGTATAACTTGGTTTTTTGACACATTAAGATTCACCTATCTGCAGATAATTGAACTGGTGGTAGTCAAGGTTTCTTAGCCTGAAACGTAAATATACATTGTGCAGTATTGGAGGCAAGGATTAACTTATTACCCACATGGCTCTGTCTAGGGTCCCATCCACCAAGCTTTGGCTGTTCCAACTTGCACTACTCACCCCTGCATATTTTTATATAACATTTTGTGTCATTGGTTATTTATTCTAGTTACCAATCCCAGTGGATTATTTTATTATCAAAGGTGGCTGTGTCTTCAGTTACCTAAATTATATACATCTGTCTCCCACACATACACACTGTATTTAATTGGGACAAGAATTCAAGAACAGTAAAGCAAGTACTAAATCCTTAATCATGCCTGGCATACAATGCCACCGTATAAACACCAGCAGGTTTGTGCAACTCTGCCCTATGGCCTTGGTGTTTGCAAACCATATGGCTTCTCTCATGGATTGGGTCCACTTGTTGCTTTTAGTTTTCCTTAGCAGATATTCTTTATGTTTGGCTCTCTAATATCCTCAAGTCTCTGTTGCAGCCATGGATTTTTACCCTCATAGTTTTATATAACATTATCTCAGAGACTCAGAAACTAAAAGTTCTAGCTAATCTTGCAGAGGATCCATATTCAGTTCCTAGCACCAAGAGGTAGGAGGCTAACAACCAACCATTACTCAGGTTTCAGGGCATCTAATGTCCTTTTGCAGATCCTATATGTGCATAGTGCACATACAGACAATCTGGCACATACAAGGAAAACTTTTAAATATTTAAAATATCTAACATAGTTAGTCAGTGCCCGACACTGCCAATGACTTTTTTTTTTTTTTTTGGTTTTTCAAGACAGGGTTTCTCTGTGTAGGCCTGGCTGTCCTGGAACTCACTCTGTAGACCAGGCTGGCCTCGAACTCAGAAATCTGCCTGCCTCTGCCTCCCAAGTGCTGGGATTAAAGGCGTGTGCGACCACCGCCCGGCTGCCAGTGACTTTTTAATAGAGTAGAAAGTATAGGCATGCTATTATCTAGCTGTTCCCCTAAAGAAACTCTGGTAAGAGTCATGTATATGACTCTTCTTCACAAGAGATTTGCACAATTGATTAAGCTGGAAGCAATTCAAGTGTTCACTAGCAACATAATGGGAAGAAATTCATATAACGAAATACTAAGAATGAGTAAACAACTTCCTGTATACAGCACTATAACTGAGGCTCATAGATAAGATGAATAAACAAGAAAGTCATTCATAAAAGATCCTATCACTATTGTTTCATTAGGAAAAAATAAAACCAGACCTAAGTCATTCAGGGTTGCATGCAAGGCACAGTGAGCACACCTAAGCAGAGGAGAAAGAGGTGGGCTAGGGAAGGGGAGAGAGGAAGCTACTGGTTGCTCTCAGTGTTTTGGTTTTGGTTTTGGTTTTGGTTTTTCCCACATTGGCTTGGTTAATGTTAATCAGCTTTTCACTGATAACTGCTGTAACAAATACCTAAGATTATCAACTCAGACAGAGCAAAGGTTTCTTTTGGCTTGAGGTTTCAGAACTTACCGTCTATGGCCAGTTGATTGTTGCTTGGGGCCTATGATGCGACAGAGCATCCTAGTGGGGAATACATGCTGGAGCATAGCTGCTCACTGTACAGTGAGGCTGTTGCTGTCGTCTCTCATAATAATGCTGTAGTCTGGAGCCTCTGAGTGGATGATGCTCTCTAAAATGTAAAACTAGGGAAGGAGCTAGGGAGGTGGCTCGAGTGGTAAAAATGATTACTGAGCATGTATAAAGAACTGACATTGGATCCCCAGACCCCATGTGGAAAGCCAGATGCAGTAACACATACATCTGTGATGCATATGCCCATATGGGAAGATGAGCCGTAGAGACGAGAACCAGCTAGCCTGGCATTCAGACCGTGAATGATGAATCTCAAAAGCTGCCTCAAAATCAAATGGAGGACAAAGACTGATGCCCAAGGTTGTCCTGTGACTTCCATGTGTTCACTATGTATGTGAGCCCTCCTCTTATACACACACTCATTATACATACACATGCATGCAAACAATAACAAAATGTAAGGTTGCTGCAGCAACCCTGACCAGACCTAGATGTGCCTTGTTTCCTCCTGGTACTTCTTTTTCTGGGGGCTCTGGGATTCTAGACAGAGTTTCTCTGGGTAGCCCAGGATATCCTGGAACTTGCTTTCTAGAGCAGACTGGCATTGAACTTGGAGATCTACCTGCCTGTGCCCCTCAAATCTGACTCCTTCCTGAACTTCATGACCTCCTTTGCTTTGTCTCCTGTTTAGGGCTGCTGTTTGAGTGTCCAAATGTTTCGTACTGTGCTGCATCCATCCTCTTGTGGCCCCTTACTCACACACTCATCACTTTGCCTGCAAACCCCACCCTTGGATGCCTCTGTCCTCCTGAAAACTGTCTGGAAAGCGGTCTGCAGGAGAAGGCATCATTTAGCTGACCTCAATAGTAGCCATGCTCTTCTAAATCTACTTTAGATTTGTTCCCTCTGTGACAAATATCTGTCCTTGCCCAGGGACCTTTCTTCAAACATCACTATACTTGGCTAGCATATCTGCCTACCTCTAACCAGATAGGGAGACCTT